ACACACACAGACACACTCTCTCTCACACACACACAGACACATATACACACACTCTCTCAAACACACTCTCTCTCTCAGACACACATACACACATACTTACACACACACACTCTCTCTCACACACACACACAGACACAGACACTCTCACACTCTCTCTCACACACACACTCTCACACACACACACTCTCTCTCTCACACACACACTCTCACACACACACACTCTCTCTCTCACACACACACTCTCTCTCTCACACACACACACACCCTCTCTCTCTTTCTCATACACACACAGCCACAGACAGATACACACTCTCTCACATACACACACATTCACAGACCCACTCGCTCTCTCTCACACACACATATACACACACACACATACACATATACACACGCATACACGCACACACTCACACACAGACAGAGGGAGAGTGTTTTGGTGGCACCATGCCCCTTTGCCCTCGGTCACTCCCCTCCGGGGCTGGGTAGCTGAAAGAGCGGCTGTGACCTCCTCAGCTTTGGAGGGGGGGTCGGCGGCTGCGGAACCCACTTCTCTGGCACGTGCGGGGCACCCTGCAAAAAACCGAGAGACGTGTGTCAAAAAAAGGGCAGGAAAACATCCTGGCTGGGGTCCCGCTGTGTCTCCGTCTCTCTCCCTTCCTTCTCAATCCCCTTTCTATATATCTCCCTCCATTCCCTCCCCCATCTCCCTTCTGGCTCATCCCTCCAAGTCTGTTTCCCGTTCTTCCAGGCCTGTCTTTCGATTTCACCCTTAGCGACAAATCCTCTTCGATGTGGGCTGGGGTTGGGAGTTGGGCCCTGGCACTGAAACTGCGGACTCCCCCTCCACTCACTTCTCGATAGCTCCCCACACAAGAACAGGGGCGTGCAAAAATGCTTTCTCAATCATCCACCTTGTCAACTCCCCTCAGAACCCAACGGGCTCCAATCAGATTACCACCATGTTCCTCTGAACCTACCCCCCTGCCCCCGGGCACAGGCCCAGCCATGCCCCAGCTGAGCGAACCATCTCTAGTGCCAATGTATCCCTCCTTAAAACAAACAGAACAAAACTGTGCCCTGTATTGCAGAGATGGTTTCCTCTCTGTCTACAGTGAAACATCCTTCCTTTAACATTCCAGTCCCTTTTCAAAAGTGACCGACTTTCCATTTTGCTTTCTAATCACTTGATGCTGCTACAACTTTTTGTCGCTAATGTTTTGTTCCTAGCTTTCTTGTTGCTAAATTTTGCTTACTTTGACTAGAGGGTTTGGAGAGGTTGGATAAGACTGGTTTCACTGGAGGACCTTAATAGAGGCTTATGAAATTAATTATAAAAATACACTTTAGGCAAATAGCAAAAAGTCTGTTCCCTAGGGTGGGGGAGTTCGAAACTAGGGGGCATATTTTGCAGGTGAGAGGAGACAGATTTAAAAGGGACCTGAGGGGCAGCTTTTTCACACAGGAAGGTTCGTGCGTGGAACGACCTGCTAGATGAAATGGTGGGTGCGGGTACAATTTCAACGTTTAAAAGACATTTGGACAGGTAGATGAATAGGAAGGGTTTAGAGGGTTGTGGGCAAAATGCAGACAAACGGGACTAGTTTAGTTTGGGAAACTTGGTCAGCATGGATGTGTTCGACCAAAGGGTCTATTTCCGTGCTATATGACTTTATAAATCTATAACGTATACTAATTTTTTGTTACTAACATTTTGTTACTAACTTGTGCTAACTTTTCGTCGCCAAATTTTTGTTACTCCTTTTTTGTTATTAACTTTTTGTTACTAATTTTCTGTCACCAACTTTTTGATACCAACTTTTCATTGCTTTCTTGTAACTAACTTTTTGTTGTGAATTTTTTGCTGCTAGTTTTCTTTCTAACGTTTCGTTGCTGACTCCACGTATCAAGACTCCCAAGTCCCTCTGTACCACAGCATTCCGCAGTTTCTCTCCGTTTAAGTTATAATCTGCTCTTTTCCGTCGTCCCTCACTGGCCAAGTTCACAATTTCTTGCATTGCGCTTGGCAGGTTCCTTTTCCCTCCCCTCTTGGTACGTTCTTGGTATCAACACGAGAGAAAGCGTAGCTGTTGTACAGGTCCCTGATGCAGACTGTAAGTAGGGGAGTCTAGCTCCTCTCTCATCACCCCCGCCCGTGCACACCCCAGCACTGACACTCCTGTCTCCTCTCACGCGGCACTCAATTACGTGGCCAGTTTGCGTGAATCATCCTCAGTGCTACCTCGGTCGTATCCCTCTGGCTCCCATTTTCGTAATGTTTGTTCTTTGGAGGGGGCCGCGGGGGACTGTCACAAGAACCCAGTGAGTTCTCCTGGTCTCTCTGCAGCGCGGGGTAACCTGTAAAAGAGAGACAAGGGTCAGGCGAGATCCAAAATGAGACCACTGCGTCGGACACAGGGAGCAGATCAGGCAGAAATTAATGGGACGTCGATCGCCATCCAATTTCAGGGGTCAATGGGTGCCCTTGCTGGGAGATGGTCAATGCCTGGCACTTGGGTGGCGCAAATGTTAGTTGCCACTTAGAAACGTCAGAGCAGGGGTGGGCCATTCAGCCCTTCGAGCCTGCCCCACCATTCAATACAATCATAGGCTGATCATCCAACTCAGCCCCCTTTCACCCTTCGATCCCTTTAGCCCCAAGAACTATATCCAACTCCTTCCTGAAAGCTTCCGATTTCTGTGGCAGAGAATTCTACAGACTCCCCCCAACCCCCTAACTCTCTGGGTCAAAACATTTCTCCTCATCTCAGTCATATCACCGTATCCTTAGACTATGACGCTCTGGTTCTGGGCTCTCCCCTGGGTCATCGGGAACATCCTTTACCCTGTCTAGTCCCTGTTAGCATTTGAAAGGTTTCTATGCGACCCCCCCCCCCAACCCCCCGCCCCTAGCCTCAGGATACGGTGATATGACTGGGATGTGGAGAAATGTTTTGACCCAGAGAGTTAG